AAATTTAAGTAAGTTTCCTAAAGTGGGACATGAGAAGACAGAACTTGCCTCGTTAAAGGCAGTTAGATCAGCCAGACATTTTGCAAGTACAAATAGCATTTGAAATAACACTTAACTTCATAAAAACAAGAACCTAGATTTTAATGTACCTTATTATTGCTATACTATTGTAATTGCCATCAAATTGAAAATGAACTTTCCACTATCTCTTTTGGGGTTAATATAGCTTAATGAACCGTCCATGTACACGTTTATTACCTTTACTTAGTTCTTAAAATTGGGATGGTTATTTAATGATCTAGGATACTACCTTAGAAATAAGGATTATAATCTGAATGGTATTTAACAATTTATTAATAGTTAACTTTTGTACATAAAATTACGCACTAATTAAACTGCCTACCGTTAGATGAAAGTTCAAGACCAGGCAATTATGAGTTCAAAGATATTTTCAACAACCCACTACGTAATTAATAGCTAGGAATGTATTGATATTAAACTGTAACATATTACTGTTAAAATTGCCTTTAAAAATACAGGTTGTATGAAAGTAGATCCACAAAGTTTAATTGGAGTTTATGCAATGCTAAAGTTTAAACAAAATAAAGTATTAACTATATAAGTTTAAAGGGTTGTATATGTGATTTTTGTTTTTATGAGCCTTTAAAACCTAGTATAATCAAATGGAAACATTGAAAAGAATCCTTACATTGGAATAATAAAGCAATTTAAATTCAAATGACTTGCTAATGGCTTATTGCCAAGAGTTAAATGTAACCTCGAGGCTGGTGACAGCGAACTAAATAAATTACATTTTGTGTTATTTTTACAACATACAGGGCTGATGTTATTACTTTTTCGTTATATGCAATGCTCATGATTATAGTAAATATTTCATTTCAACCACGTCAGTAAATGTATGTAGCAAATTGTTAAATTAGCAAACTTATTGACTGTTTACAATTAACATATGTTCTTCTTCTCACTTTTAATTTCTAACAACAGCTGGAGTTTCATAAAAATGTTTGTTCTTCATTTTAATCTTATAGAGAAATACGAAACTCCAGAGCCTTACTCTCTAATTATTTTCCTAAAAAGAAATTTTCCTGCACAACTTCACGTTATGCTCTTTCCAATGACACCAAAAACATGTCAATCGGTTCAGTATTTTCGGAGGAGTAATTGTCACAAAAAACCTGCTTGCGTATTAAATAAGTAATATAGATATGTTTGTGACAAGTAAACGCAAAAAATACTGGTCGGATTGGGCTGAAATTTTATGTGATTTATAGCTCATATTCCCGATTGCCATATAGACGCATTCTTATCTCAAAAATCCTTTCGGGCTCCTTCCCAGTGGCTCTGTAGATCCCCATAATTTTGTCAGCTGTTTAACTAAACAAGTTGGTTTATGATATTCAATAGCATCAAAAGGTTATACGGTTTCCCAACAGGGTGCAGCACTATTTTGCATTTATGACAACAGATAATTTGAACTAAGCAGTGACAAAAAGCTGTGATACACAATGAGAACTGTCCAAGTAGGATTGTTAACAGTTATGTTTTTTGTTTATGTTTTTAATTTGATCTATAATTTGTGATATCGTGCAAATGTTTTATAATTTACTTTTTTTAATGTTATAGGTGCAATGGTAGAAACTTATGGCTATATTAGATGTGTTATTCTATATTGTTCTGTATTGCAAACGCAAAGCACTAGTATAACTTCAATAAGCACTTTATACTTATACGCCAACTCCGTATGAAGGACGGGAACTCTGCTACTTTTATATAAGCTTATAACGTACACAATATTTATAAATTCATGATACCAATTAGTGATACATAAAGCCTGTACTAACCTATATGAGTACTACTGACTCTTAAATTAATTTAACTGATCGGTAGACACCAAAATAATCAAACAATAAGGTAATGTGATATTTTTAATACGCTCATACACCAAGTAATACTATATTCTCTTTTGCATCTGTACTTAATGAATACAGTATCATATATCTAAATGATATTGATTGAACCTCTGAAACTTTTACTGTATTTTATTTATATTATTCATAACCTAAACAAAATGTTATTCAAAATACATAGGCAATATCTGCTACAGAACTTTACATTGTTTGATGGTACATTAATGGAACAGCATTTACATGTAAAAGAGCACAAAGTCGTTTGGAAAAAGCAAACTGGCTCGAATAGCTAATGTTTATGAACAAAGTCGTTAAACAAGGAATTTCAACATGAATGGAACAGACGTATCACAATAAACAGGTCCTAATGGCGCATTGTTGGATGTAAATAAACCGCCCTACTTCGAGAGCCGATAAAAGAATCACTATGACAAAAACACTCCTTGTATTTATTTCATTTCTGTTTTATTGAAATATAACAACACACCATGTGAATGAAATCTATTGTTGTCATTAGTTTTTCTTAGTAAATACGTTAGTTTCATTATCAAAATACATTTTACCTTATATATTTTGATATTTCAGACAATTATTATTGACATGCAATTTTGCGTGTGAATTAAACATCTTAACTATGTTGACCTTTGGTGTGTTTGTATTAGGTGTATTTCTCATATAATGTAAAGGACCGGCAATTAATATATAGAACGTAAGGTACCAGATTTGATAGAATCATCCATCATTCCCATAGAAGGTAGGTTAACGTCATTATAAACGTATGTTTGTTTTTAAACAATTAAGTGTCGACATGCAATCGTGTGTGCGAATTCAAAAACTTGATTATGTTTAACTATAGTGGGTTTGTATTAAGTACCAAGTGTATTTCCCATACACATCGCCAATTAGTATTTAAACACAGGGCCTTAGGTATAATAAAATTACATCCCTATATTAGGCATGTAAACGTCTTAGTAAACATATTGAATAATGAAGGTTACAAACATTTTAAAAGACATTCAAAAGGAAATTCGATATTTTTAACAAATATTTGCATTTATTAGGCTGTAAATAAACTGTCTCAATAATGATGATTTCAATTTTCATGAACAATTAAATTTTGTTATAATCTTCCTAACATTTTAATGTATATTATTGTTTTAATGTTGATAAACTTAACAATACGTACGCTTTGTACCAACGACCATTCTTATAAAATATGTTAATTTTATTAGACAACTTGGAACTTTTAAAAACCTTGGCCCAATTCGGGTTCTGGAGCAAAACAGATAAATCAAGCGATGGGGAGGAGGACAGCCTGTCCAGGATTTATGATTCGAGAAACATTCTGCCAGAAAACATCTTCCGTATTAATCCATTGCCTTCAAAATATGATGAAAGATTAAGTTAGACAAACAACATTAACCTTGATACTAGGGGTATCACATTGCCTTATTATGCTATCCAATAAGAAGTCTTTTATTCATACAAACTCATCTTAGCTATACAGGAAGGTTAACATGTCTAGAGCCATCATTGTATGCATTATTTTTATATTGCTATATAACTCATTTCCACAAAATACTTTTGAGGTGTGGGAATCTTAACCTTTCATAGTTTACTGACTCTTTGGTTACTGACCAGTGTCCGAATAAGTATGTACAACATTATTAGAAACCGTTGTTTGTACGCTTATCAACTAAACTAGACAGTCAAAACACCATTGAGAAATACGCAAATGGTTGGGATACAAGACGTAAATCAAGGGTTGCTGTTTTACAAGATAGCGTATAATTAAGGAGTTCATAAATAAATATTATTAAACAAAGCACAATAAGAATAACTATTGGTATATTGACTTCCTCATATTCTTCCCCGACGATAGGAAATAGTAAAAGAGATATTCAACTATAGAAAGATGATCACAGCAAATCGCATGTAAAAAGATTCCCTTATTACAAAGGCACGCTTGATTTAATTATTATGAAATCTTTGGTTGCGACTTTTGTCATAAAGTGAAAGGTAGCAATATGACGGTATTTTAATCTCCCGTGCTGGTTTCAAGCTGGTATGGTGATAAAATACTCGAAACATAGCGCAATTAAGAGCTATTCAACCAATTGAAGTAACTGCCATTTTCAGCGGTCTGTAACAAGCTGTGTTACTGCTTTAATTGGAAAATCCGGTAACAAGCGCCATATTGGCACGAGTGGACCTTTTGAAGCTACTTCAGCACCTTCCTTTGCTTCACCGGTCTTCTAAAAGACATGCGCATTGGGGTGACACCTGAACTAAGAAGAGATTACCAGTCAGGGGATGATATAGCTCTGGTGGCCACAGTCTAAAATAAGATATAAGCATAGAACAACTAATATAATGAGATTGACAGCTCTATGTATAAAACCTAGGCCTTTTAGTTGGGCCAATACAAAATAGTACTCGGTCCATGCGCAGGTAGCAGCACTGAAGTAAGGTTATACGCATTTAATGATCCTTCGTGTGCTAGAACCGTGCTTCGTTACTAACACTCTAACCTAACCTAACCTAACCTAACCTGACCCAACCTAACCTCTAACCATCGTTTTTATATTGGTTCATCAATGATATACCACCCTTGTAAGCAAATGTCATAACACATAACATAGCACCTTTATAAGGCGTTTTGTGTGGAAGCCTCCAACACCACCCTGTCTCAAGCAAGAAATACATCAACTATTACCATGAGGAAACGCCCCTTGGTAGCTCTTTTCCAACAAACCTATTGTATTGGTCCCTTGGTTTCCAATACATTTTGCAAGAACACCTCAGCGCCAATTCAATGTAATCATGACGCCCAAGTTTTCTTAATTAGTCTGTTGTAGCTTTCGTTTGGATATTGAAGTTCTCGACAGTCTTAAGTAGCATTACTTATAAATTATTGTAAATGTAGCATTACTATCACCAGTTCAGATGGGCACGCCACTTAGGTACAAATTTTTACCCAATGAGTGAAGGATGAGTGTAAAATTAGGTATGTAGTAAAATTCTGACATTTGAGGATGACGACCTCTCTACATGTTTGTGTTGTGTTTTCAGGTTTGCGGAAAGGTGTTCGGGAACGCATCTGCCTTAGCCAAGCACAAACTTACGCACAGCGACGAACGCAAGTACGTGTGCACCATGTGTGGCAAAGCCTTCAAGAGACAGGACCATCTGTAAGTAAAATAGTAGTTGGTGTCTATTGGTTGCTATAAATACGTTGTAAAGATAGCAATAAAAGATCGTATGTGTTAATTAGAGGGAAAAAGCTAAATAGTCGTTTTCATCACTAGGATTGAACGTGGTCTTTTTTGTACGAAGCCATGATTCACCATGTTTTTTTTTTAAATACAATTAAGTACCAAAAAGGCACTTTCGCTTCGAAGTTTTCGTGTGATGAACTTCTATTTGCATCATACTGTACTGTGGAAATAGCCTTCTAATTAGATTACACAATTAAAGGTTATACAAAGTTGTCATCAGTGCTTACGTTTCTGTTGTTTTTCAAACATAACTTAATATATCATGTGATAAGCAGGGTTTTTTATAATGTGCCATAAACAAATTTTAAGGTTAGCGAATAGAAAAAAATACCAATGGTTTTCTGTTCCCTATTTAAAGCTATCCGAAAGAGATGATTTTTCCGACGATTTAGATAATTAAAAATGGCTGTTTTTCGGACAATATGATGAAAACCTTTGTGCACTGCTAGTTTAAATATCTTTTTATTATAAAAAAATATAGAAAGGCATTGCTACAAAGTATATTTTATGTATTGGTTTTGTAGCTTTTTGTGACATGACTTCATAGTCATACCACAATGACTTCCTAGTATCACACTAGTAAAATGTTAATTGTATTTGTATAAGTTAGTTTTTTATAGTTATCTCTCTAAAATACCTACGTAATTATAACAGTATTAAATGGTAATTCAATGAAACTTTACGGTTTGGAGCTTAAAGTAGTCTTACATAGCTTACGAGTAACTCATTGTTCTGTGGTCAATTTATTTGTGATAATTTAATTTCATATGGAATGTTTCTTTTGGTTGCAAATCCGTAAAGTGCGTCTCATCTTGGTGCATACTCAACAATATTTATGGCTGGGAAATATAAACGCTTATTGTTTTACAGTGGCGGAATAGCTCGTTAAGTTTACTGGAGATATTAAAAACTCCGGAGGTAATAGACATTTTACTAGGAGCAGTTTGTCTGTTTTATGGAGCCGTTACTACTCGCGCATGACCTGATTGCAATGTCCCTACAATAGAAATAAAGTTAATCGCTTTGTACCACAGCTAAAGCACTAATAATGCACTTAAAGCTTTCATTTTTATACAGATGTAAATTTAGTTTAAGTGTTTTTTATAACTTACAAAAGTTAAAGTTGATAGTTAATGGTATAAATGCATGGCCTATATGCAATTACTGTGCCAAGAAAAAGTTTACTACTTTCGTAAACAATTTTAAAACTTTTTGTCAAAACAGTCACTTCTTGTGCATAACCTTCTTGCAATGTCCCTAAAATATAAATAAGTTAAACACTTTGTACCCGCTTTGCTAAAACGCTATTAAAATGATTTGAAGCACTCAATTTGTATTCATGTATCAATTTAGTGTGAAGGTTTTTAAAAACTTTTAAACGTTTTAGTATATTATTAAATAGTTTTTGAATATTTTTTTAAATACTCAAGGGTAGAAAATGTTTAACCTCATGTGCTGTGACATACAGAGGTTTTCTATGTCCGATTCGACATTTATTAATAATGTTTAGGTTCATTAGTGAGGTTTTTTTTATATATTCAAGACTAAAACTCGATAGATTTCTGTTCGGCGAATAGATTTCTGTTCGGTCTTCTCGTTGTGCGATGGATACAGTAAAGTATTTTTTGTATGCTGAGGTTTTTGGATTATATGGCTGAGGGATGATCAGTAACTCTTGTGAACTTAAATAATATATGGGTCGATATACAGTAGTCCTTAATACAACTAGGGAAGTTCCCTGGGTATAATGAAACGCAATTGACAACTTAGCATCTAGTGCCACTTACATAAACAAAGGACTTTAATATTTATAAAATATGTTTATTGTTCAAGTTTACATAAAAAACGTATTCGAGTTTTATGAATGTTAATGGCACATGGGTAGAATATTAAAACAAACTATTTAATAACCTATGATAAGCTCGATTGCTTCGTACTATTTTGCTAAATGTGTATGCAATATTGTCTTGTCACTTCAGCACAAAATCTGCCTTAACAATGGAGTGTAAATTAAATAACAAAAAACACTAGATTCAAATTGATGGATTGCTCTTGAATGTGTAAAGATACAATACATTCTATTCATCTTTGGAAAAACTCAGTTTACATCAAAACTATTACTGTAGCGTTAACTTCTGTTTTATAGTACTTTTTTAGATCTAAGAGATGAAATGATGTTTTAATTTGACTTCATCGGAGTACTTGAATGCTCTTTAAAAGTCTGTAATTATCGACTCTGCCGTTGCGAATAATTATTAAGATCTTATGAATGTTCAAGTGGAATCGATTTAGAAATGGTCATTAGTATCGAGTGCTACTGAATATTTTAATTTAGATTGTAAATATAATCAGTTTCAAATATTATTGATTATAAATCAATGTAAACCTATTCCAATTTTACCGGGTGTCCCAAAAAGAATAGATGAAAAGTAAACTGGCATAAACTCTTAATTATTAGAGATAAAACGTAGAATTTATGCACACATTTTTACTTAGCTTCCTAAGTGTTTCCTACTATGGTTTCACCCCCTAATTTCTACATGTTCTCCGTTATTTGCTTTAAGAAAGTCAAGTCGGTGTTCCGGCTCTGACTACACATTGTGGTGCATTTCATTACACGTTTGCCAAAGGCTTTAAGTTATCAATGATTTCAGTTCGTCTATTTTTTTATTACTGAGTGATACACTTGATCTTTCACGAACCCCTTACTACAAATATCGTCTCTATAAACCATTCAATAGGCCTACACATTGCTTTTAACTGTACCTCCATAGCTGTACATTTAGAAAATTCAAACGTGCTAACAACAATGAAACAGCTGATTAAGGGCAAGAAAAACATAAATATGCCAGCTTAGAAATTAGCCATAGTTGACTTTTTCTATGACCACTGGTAACACCTAGATTAAGCTGTAGGTTTGATAGATTCTTTTTAGGACACGGTTAGGATATTATTGCACCTTAAAATACATTGTAAAGCAGGTCACGTGGTTGCTTGTTAAGGTGGTCTCGTTTGGTGGCAACTCACCAAGGTCGGCTCAGGGGAAAACTTGCTATTGTCTATTACGTATACATGGTTAGGTATTCTAAAACTAGCCGGAATATACTTGGTAATATTTTTATATTTGCTCTTTTTTACGTATAGTGGTGATTTAAATTGATTTTAATTGCATACATTGTATACATCGCTTGGATGCAATTCCTAAACGAATTAATGTTTTAAATACTTACGCATCATTATTATAAACAGAATAATCCTCATTTAGTATTTACTTAAATATATTCAATAATTCGATGTTTTACCTAGCCAAGTTCAATGAAGTATGTAAAATTCTATCTCAAATTACATTTCAAAGAGTATGTATTTAGTACAGTTAATTAACAACTGCAATTAATTCAAAATATTTCAAATACAAAGCTGGAGGATGAAATAACTATGGAACAATGCAGAAACAATGTGTCTTCGTAGAAAGCGAGAGTTGGCGTCAACAAATTGCCGGGTTAAGGTATAAAGTTCGTTACTAAATATTTGTCAGGAAGCCGGCGAGTTTGTAGTGAATACTTCATCAGGAGGCGAGAATGTTCACAATGCCGCTAATGAGATGCTCTTACCGTCGCGTGTCGTCTGGTTTCTTCCGTTAACAATAAAATTGCATCTCCTCGGTTGTGTTTCGATACCAAGATAGTCCGCACCAGCCCCACTCACTGGATAGGATAGGACAAATAAAATTCTTACAATTACTGTAACTCCTAATTAAAAGATGGGATTAGATAATTAATAGCCCTACTTGATTTTAAAATACGATGTTATCTTGGCACAACTAAGGAGTGCGTAAAACTGAATGGAAAACAAATACCATTTACTATCATTGATACTAACAAGAAGTAATAATTACTCTTGAAATATATTTGAATATGTTCTGGTTGCTCAATATAATATTCAACTTTTCATTTAGATATAAAAAAGTTTCCTGTAATTTATTATTACTGGAAAAGTTTGTTGAGTGACACCATTGAATTGGTTAAATTATCAATCTGGTGTTGGTAACATGCCATCAACATAGAGATCCATCTAGTTGAACACAAACAGCTGCAACTCTGTTTAGTATTAAATTAACCAATAATTGAAGGATAAACTTACAATCTGGTTCTAACTAATCCTAGTTTGAGCTTGTTGCCTTTAAATAGAGTACGTAATAAAATAAAGCTTTTAACTATACTAACTCAGCTTTCAATAAAAGGGCAACGTAAACCCACGTTCAGGTCGGGCATAACGAGGTAACCCTAACAAGGGCCCTCGTGGCTTGAATATCTTTAGATTATCTCCCTTCGTAGTCGCTGCCACCTACAGCCTCGCCGGCCAACGCCCAACCCGACCATGTACACCTACATACTACATAAAATCTTTATGTATGTCCTTTGACCTGACCGTGTACACCTACATACTAAATCGAACCATCATGTATGTCCTCTGATCTGACCATGTACACCTACATACTACATAAAATCTGTATGTATATCCCTTTAACCGGCCATGTAAACCTACTTGCTACATAAAATCTTTATGTATATCCTCTTACCCGACTATGTACACTTACATACTACATAAAATCTGTATGTATGTCATTTGACCCAACCATCTATATGTACATACAACATCAAATCTGTATGTATATCCTTTGACCTGACCATGTACACCTACATACTACATAAAATCGTTATGTGTGTCCTTGTACCCGACCATGTACACCAACATGTAAATTTGTATGTATAGCCCTTTACTCGACCATGTACACATACATACTACATAAAATATTTATACATGTTCTGACCATGTACACTTGCATACAATATCAAATTTGTATGTATATCCCTTAACCCGACCATGTACACCTACATACTACACAAAACTTT